ATAACTTACTCTTCACTTTGGCTGGCGATGCTCTGGGCCTGGCAGCCCTCCTGGGGCTCGATGACGATCGAACTAACTCCGTACCATTTGGCGGTACGTTCTCCTTGTCTTCATCATCTCCAAATATGGTCATGGTGTTTGAAGGCACTTTCGTGGGTTGGTTTGTGGCGGTGGCATCACTGGGTATCGAACCACTGAATCCCTTTGACTTTGATTTTCCTACGATTGTAGAACTACTCGGTATCGTCTCCTTATCATCTCCATATGCATCGTTCGAAAAGTATGACTCTATTGTTTTAGGACGGGCGGTGGCGGTAGCATCACTGAGTATCGAAAAACCCGTCGATTTAGATTTTCTTCCGACCGTAGAACTGCTCCGTATCGGCGACTTCGACTTCGAAGTAATGTTTATCGTTCGTTTAACTCGTTGAGGGGTAGCTGAAGCGATTGCGCCCACTGGTCGCAGGAACTGCTCCAAAGTTGAGGTTGAAGTGGTTGGCTTTGTGGGCGACATTCTGGTGATGTCGAAGGCCGAATACGGAATGGAGAAGAAGACGAACTCCGCACGGCAGTCGATCTATTGCGATGATGGCATTTAACGAGTGATTGATCGGGTTGTGGTTGACGAGCTGAGGCTGTGGGGGAGTTGAAGTAAAGGACTGGCGTGTCAGGAGAAAGAGGCTGGAGCCGGCGAAACCAACCCTACTATCGATGCGAGGTGTTTCCTTTCCTGGCACTTGTCAGGCGCTGCCGTCTACCTACTACTCGTCAAATAGATTGACAAATAAGCGGGTACGGAGTAACAGAGACGGAAGTGTTTCAAAAGTACTTTTGTAAGTATCTAAAACTGGCACCAGAATTCCCCAAAGATCGCAGTTTTTTTTTTACATTTTGCCGCCTCAGGATGTATTTTACATTTCCGACCATGAATTTGCAACATAAACGAGGCCGATCGGCCTGCAAGTTAAATGACCCATTTAATCATGCATTCCAGAGCCGTCTCAGCCTGCATGATGGCTGTATGCTGGTGTATAAATACGAATCGTTGTTGCACTAGGTGTGGCGACGGCGGCTCTGCGGGTGGTGATGTTGACCAGTGTTGTGGGAGCATAAACAAACACTTTTGTTTTTAGCGTGGATGGTTGTCAGGGGCAACGACACCAGTGTCAAAAAGCGACGCTTTCCCTGCAATCTTTAGAGTACTCTACTCTACTCTAGTCTGCGGTAAACGCCTAACTGGGGATGCGCAAAGGCAAAGGCTGCTCTCGTCTGCTCAGTTTTACAGAGCTCTGAAGAAGCTGCGGTCGGGTAAGGTGTAATCAGAGAGGTGTTTGTTCCCGACTTTCCTAAAACACGGAAAATAATAAACAAAAAGCATAATTGATATGGGATCACCAATCATGTCCGTCATCTCGCTGCAAGTGGAACCTTTTTCCCTAAAACGCGTCACCCTAGCGAGAAAAAAACCTGGGTCACTGCTCTTTGTTTACATCAGTCAACTCTAGGGGTCCGATAATTTGTGTGCCCATCCCGCGTCTTTCACACTAACATCAGCCCGACATCAACACCCACACTACGTCGCCCTTCCGTAACCTGTCAACTACCCCGCGTCACGTACTTGGCCCACTTCACTTTCAGAGCGCGTCACCAACAAGACAGCAATGGCGGATCCTACAGCAGTTGCCCTCCCCCCCTCTGACGATACCAACTACAACACATCGTCGCCAATCCAACTCACAAAGACGCCTACCCGCAGCGGCAAGCACATCGACGGCGGTGACGAAGAAACGCCGCGTCCGCGCCTCAGGCCCTCAACCCGTGGCGGCAAATTTCACCCTGGATCCCATCTCGATGCTACTCCCGGTGTACCACGACAGGACAGTGCTAGCTCTGACGAAGAAGGTTCTCAGCAGTCGGATTTAGCAGAGTCAGATATGGAGGATAACGCCAAACACTTTGAGAGCGAGCCAATGCAAACGGATAACGTCGAGGAAAGTGAAGACGAGGACTACGATAACATGGACCATACAGTGGCTGTTAACATTGACGCACCACTAGCTGACCAGCTCGGAAGGGCCCCGGGGGCTGTACGTGCTCAAAGATTGACCACTCTAACATCTCCGGGACGGACACCTGCCAGAAAGCCTTCGGGCCGTAATGACCGCTTCACACCGTCTAACGGGGCCCCTTCGTCGCTATTTGGCACCGTCCAGCAAACGCCATTCCTATCCCACACTACACCCCACAGATTGAACGCCATGCAACCTTTCGCCACTAATGCAACACCCGCACTTACCTACGACAACGTTCTACAGGAAAAGGAAGAGGAGATCATCCGCCTTCGGGCAATGTTGGCCGAAACCCAAGGAGAGAAAGCGTTGGACGACTTCATCAACTTTTCTCCCGAAAAGCAGGCCCTTAAACTACCAGAGGAACCCCACATGTCGGCGATGAAGCGTGGCTCCCCACGAAGGCACCCCGGAATCAACACTAGTCCAATTGCACCAACAGGAATCAGCCATGAGTTCAGATCTTCGCCGTTGAAGCCCGTACGGATCTCCGACAGAATGTTGAAACCAATTACTACCGAGGAGAGGAGGGAGGCTAGGAGAAGAAGAGTGACACAGGAATTCAGAGATTTCAGTGCTCTCGACCTGAACTCATTGAGGGATGGCGGTTCGTTGCCGGAACCTATTGCAGAGGAACAGGAGGAAGAGAAGGCTGTAGAGCAGGAGCTCCCCGAGCCGGAGGCTATGGAGGAGGAGCACCATGAGGAGGAGCACCATGAGGAGGAGCACCATGAGGAGGAGCACCATGAGGAGGAGCAGACTGGGGAGGTAGCTGAAGCTGAGCCTATGACAGTGGAGGAGGAGCCCGTGGCGGTGGTTGAGGAGGAGGAAGCACAGGAGCCCGAGGCGTTAGTTGAGAAGGAGGAAGCACAGGAGCCCGAGGCCGAGTCGGAGGAGCTCGCAGATGCACCAGACGCACCGGAGGAGAAAATTGACGTAGAGATTTTGGACTCGGCCACCACAAAGCCCTCTCTTTACGTCCCACCTCTCAACCGTTACAGATCCTACCGTTCTGGCTCTGCACCACCCGTACCTGAAGCACCCCAGGACATGGAAGCCAACTCCTTCACCAAATTCACCGGCCCGACCACCTCCGCCGCCGATATTAACGAGATGCACGCCGCTGAAGTTGCTCACCTGACCGCAACCATCACCGACCTCGAAGATAAGCTCGACACCGCAGGCGTCTACATTGAACGTCTTCGCGCGGAACTAAGGCTAAGAACAAAAATGTACCAACGCGCTGAAGGAATGCGGGAATTTCTTGAGCTTGAACGAAGATTCGCTATGGAGGAAGCCAATAAAAAGCCACCCACTCACAAATCCGCCTGTCCCGCCGCTGTACCTTTACCCCCCTCCCCTTCTCCCGCTGCGGCTACTCCTGCTCCTGCTCCTGCTCCTGCGCCCGTCGAGCAGAAATCCCATATGAACCGCCCCGCCAGCCGCCTCGGACCATCACGCCCAGAGAGCAGGATGGAGCAGCCAGCTGCCCGACCACCTACCCGGAGTGCCATGCGGAATCCCCCAGTTCCCTCAACAGCGGCGACTAGAAAGCGCCAAAGAGAAGAGCCGGCCCCCGCGCCCACGGCGAATAAGAGAAGTGCGGTGGTACCCCCCAAGGTACCTGCTATGAGAGGCCCGCCCACTCGTCCGACTGCTGCTTCCTCCGCTGCGGCAAACACTGCTAAGGATAGTGCGAAGCCACCTGTGGCGAGGAGTACCAGAGCTGCGGCTGGGTCTACGGCGCCGTCTACGTCGGTTAGACCGACGAGTAGGGCTGCGAGTAGGGCTGCGAGACGGTGAGGTGGGGTTGTTTGAAAGAGAAGCAGGAGGGGATGGAGGGGATTAATGAGGGCGAGGGACGAGTGCTGGTTGATGGTTCATGGAGGGATGGGGTAATTGAGCAAAAGTTTCATGAATGATGTGGAATGTGGGATGTCAAGGGATAGGGATGGAAACTTTTTGTTGTTTGGTGGGGAATTTGGATTGTTTTTGCTATACTCCTATGGAGGTCTTTGGATTTCTTTTACGATACCACCAATATTTCTTTGCGTCCTTGCTTTTGTTGCTTCTTTAGGTTGCTTCTTCCGGTTGCTTTTTTTTTCTTGGTTCAAGTTTTTGTATGCAAAGTGGTGACTTACAATTCATAAAGTTAACGCTATCTACATATTTTCTTCACTTTTTACTTCTTATACTGTACCGAGCGCTAGAAAAGAAAACGCAATTTTGCGTGACACTTTTCTTGCAAGATACAGAGTGCCCATGATAAGCCTTGATATAGATAATGTTGGTTATGGCAGGATGTAAAGGATAGCGATGATGAATACAATCCGAGATGAAAGCAAAGAATGAGAACAATGATGGTGGCTTTGTGACAAGAGTAGCAGAAAAGCATATGGTCCTTAGGAATATTCAAAAGTGATATGGTTCGTGACAGGTCTTTATCAAGAAACAAACCCCTTGTGACTGTGACACTTTGGTTTGATAGTGGAACACAGCACTGTGTGTGACATGTGAAATATCTTTTCTAGCGCTCGGTACAGTATCCAAATTTTGGGTCGTAGTTGCTTACAATTCTATTCTACTTGTTGTCTTTCAGATGATATACTTCCTTGTGATGTAAATAAGGAACGGCCATGAAGAAATGATACCGCTGTTGAACTCCCCCCAAGTTTCCATTCTCGCATCATGATGCATCAAATGAATACATCCAAAGAACCTATAAATCTTAAAACCCAGTATGGATCAAGTAAAAATCATGATAAAAATGATGAAAACGATGTAAAAACGATTCAAGCAGAGTACTAGCAACGCGCTTGTAGCGCCACCAGTTCGTACTACCACCACCTGCATAAAAACGAAGCACCAACGCATAACCACCCCAGCGTCCAAGCGCGAACCGTAGGGAACCATAAAAAAACAAAAAGATAACGTCAAGAACAGGGTTCGAACCTGCGCGGCCGAAGCCATGAGATGTCATATGCGACTGGCGCATTCAAGTCTCACTCCTTAACCACTCGGACATCTTGACTTGATAGTTGGTATGTGCAAAAACAACATATAGCTACGTCTTTTGGTGGTAACTATGATGATGATGGATGGAGATGGATCGACTTGGGGGGTGAAGGGAGGTTGATGGGGTTGATGAAACTGGTGGGGTTAATGGGGTTGATGGAATTGCTATGTCCTCAGCATGTAATAATCGTTGGATGATGACTCATGAGTAAACTTCACGCACAATATCTCATCATCCATCATCATCATCATCATCATCATCATCATCATTAAGCACTCATTCAAGACGAGCCCGGGCCCCAAAGGCCTCGTTTCCGTTTCCGTTTCACACTCTTCAAGTTGATGGTTTCAACATGATTCCACAGGAATCTGCACTCCAACTTAAGTTTCGTGCACCGACTAGCCCATGGAGATGTCGTGAGAAACCATGCAGTGTACTTAAAAAAACAGACCAATTATCTTGATGGATTGGTGTTATATAAACCCTCTATTTCCAGATGTTGTTGGGTTCGATATACAACTTTGTACCAACTTAGATTCACTTGGATGCAACTTTGCAGAAGACGAATTAACAAGCGTATGCCATCCCTCTCATCAACAAGCAGAACCGGTTCGCCCCAAATGTCCCTGGGGTGGCGGGACTTGTCAAAATCAAAAGTGGAAGTTTCAAAACTACTACCCAAGACATGGAAGTAATACCACCCAAAGGTAACAAGAAAGCCATCAATGAAAACCGGAGTCGCAGCATTCCGTACTCAAACTTCGACGCTCTTTCAAAGCTCTACGCAGACGGATTCAGCAATATCAACATCGTTTTCAACATCCCCCGAAAATTTAGGGTCTAGGGAGGATAAAGGGACTTCCAGAACTTCGAAGTTCAATCATTGTTGCTATTCAGCAAGTTGACTTGAAGATCTTGAGATTCGTCCTCCCGCTTCCACAACCCAGAATTGTGTGCGCTTCCTACAACTCACAATCGAGATCCAATACAGAGAACTTTACAAGGATGCGAGCCATTCGTCCTGAAAGAGGACTGAACCGACGGAGAAGAGCGTGCTCTTAACGAGGACATCGCTCTCAATGAGCAAGAGCTTGAGAAGAACCTACGAATGTAGCGGGAGATGGTTTCATATGGCAGCGATTTCAGACGTCAATACGACCCGTTAAATCTGCCACCCATACGGCTGAGAGAGATAAATTCAATGGTGATCAATCTAAATGGGATGATCAATCTAAATGGGATGATAGACATGATACCCAATGCCTAAGCTGTCTATTATTAATAAGGGTTAGTCTGTGCTAGATAGGCGGGAGAGGGCAGTACATTTTAAAACCGATGCGAAGAATCAGAAGGAAAGGATTGCGAGAATGGGGTTGGCGAAGAGCAGAGGAGGAGAAGGTGGGTGAATCGACCATTGATGGTTCATCCGCCGAGAAGTCGCCCGTCAAAAAGGCACGTCCTGAATTATCACTCGGAGACCTCACAGTCTTCAATTGGGAGGGTACTTCTGGCTCGGAAGTTTCAGTGCTGGGTACACCTACGACTACCAACAAGCCGAGAATTCCAATTGATGGCAAGGCAGGGGCGTGGTCAGCTCCTATTCCTACCATTGACTATGCTGCTCGTCTTAGGCTCGCTTTTTATACTAGTTCGCTTCTTATGACTCGCCAGGCGGATGGTGCGTTTTCCCGGGTCACGCTCCGCACAAGTGGATATGCCAATCCAGAATTTGAAGTTCCAGGACAGACCCTATACAGAGCCTGCAGGCGCTGCCGATGGACCAAATGAGAGACCGGAAAGTAAGTACTCCTCCGGTGGGGATTTTAAGAATCTTGCAGATGCGAATGCCAAGGTGAAAGATGCAGTAATTGCATCGAGAATTCAGAACTGCGAGGAGGAGTCTTATGATTAGGACGGAATACTCATAATGAACCCCAAGTCTAACGCCAATAGGATGATTTCGAAGTTTTGGGTGATGAAGAAACCAGAGACTAACTACGCGGGGCTTGATTACGCCTGTTTCCGCCGCCAAAAACACAACCGAGGAAGAAGAACAACCCTTCTGCGGAGAATTGTTGCTGGGAGGTCGCGACAAAATCTTCTACAAGCACGTTGAGAATTGTGTAGGTTTTAAAATTCCAGGGGATGCTTTTCCGTCGGCCAGAATGAAATCGCCAAATATCTGATGGTTACTATTGTTCATAGTCCAGACGATACGTTCCCTACGAATAAATTAACTCTAACAATCAACAATTTGTTCTTCCGTGTGGAAACGGACGATATTGTTTACTATAAGGCCGTCCCACGATTTCAACAATCATATCGAACTGTGTTTAAGCGTTTTCTCAAGTACCTAGGTATCAAATCTTGGGGCTTACCGTTTACAACGTTTCAGATATGGAGACATGGAGCCCTCCAGGGTCCGCTGCTGGCTTCCTTGGTCTTGCCATTCAAATCGGCCAAACCCTGAAAAACTACGTCGAAGGCGTCAATTCAGCAACTGCACCATCCCAGCCTACCCCCATCCGGCCAAACGTATGAACAACTACACAAGCTCAGAAACAAGCCACGTATACTACGCCTATGCGAAGCTATGGAAATATTGCTCGCGAGCAAGCGACGCAAGCGACACAGACGTTACAAACACCTATGATATTCAACGGCTATGATCTAAAGGATCACCAATTCAAGTACTTAAAGTCAATAGATGGCGGATGGATCCCAAGTATAAGTCAGGATGCCCGTCAGGATCGGAGATCACCACATTAGAGAAACAACAGACCAGAACACCAATACTCACAGAAGAAATCTTCGTGAAAATACTATGGTATGGCATTACCTACAGACACGGTTGTTCCAACGAACTCCGGGTTAACTTGAGTTGTTTCAAGTTTCCTCAAGTCAAGATGGAAGGAATCACAGCACCAAGGCGCTCCCACATACAGAAATCGAAACCCAGCGGCTTATCGATCTACTCAAATCGAACACTTCAACATAACAAATTCGAAACAACTAAACAATTCAAATCTTTGTCGGAACAACTCTTTAAAAAAACTCACTCAGGTCAAATAAGTCAATTAGCCATCACTCAATACAAACTCACCACATCTTGTTACCAAAATGAAAAGATCTCGGTCTGCAAAAAATCTTTCGGATCTTTCGAGGCTCGATTGGGTTGAGCTGACTCTCGAGTCACCACAACTACGACTCCGCAGGGCAAGTCTTCTTTCAGATATGGTGATCACTGGAGCCCATCAACTCAGATCTCTCGAAACGCCCAACTCCAAGCAGCCAGAGGGAAAGAGAAAGAGGGTGATGATATTCAAAGATGACGATAACGGAAGCCGACTCGCAGGCGAGATAGACTCGGAAAACTGGCGTTTTAGTGATGATATGACAGGGATTACTGGTTTCTATCATAGGTTACCTAAATTTTATCCGAATTTACCGGTTATCAGGAATATTGAAGAAGATGAGGAGACTATTAGGTTGTATTTTGCTAAGAAGGGGAGGTGTGTAATTTGTTAGTTGTGATGGAGGAATAGAAACAATTACCATGTCTTAATCGTTTACGGTTTCGGTGTGACTTCGATGAAGATTGTACTACGACGGTTGACACACCATATCATGGTGATCAAGATAATTTCAATAAAAGTTGACGATAAGTGTGCGGATATGCATCTATTTCTACCAAATGAGACGCAAAGACGCAAAAACGAATGAAATAAAATGACGAAAGCCATCGGGCGCTAACACCATGCCAAGCGCTTTACATTTGGAACCGAGTCTCAGAGCTCTTCGCCAATCGCTTGGATCCGTTTCTTGGGCAAAATCCATCCCTAACCCACAACGCGGAGGTCAACGTGGTCCTTCAAGTAGCCAAATTCCGTACTCCATTTGCCCTTTGTCAATCTACACGTCGCAAAAATGGAAGCAGTACTCCCCCACCTCGAGCCCATCGTCGCCTTATTACGTCCTCACCTTCTCCCGATCATCAAGGCCTTACCCGCCCCTATCCACGAGTTCGGTCTGTCGCAACTCGGCGAAACTTGCTACGAGACAATAGTCCAGAACCTCGATATTTCTCAGGCGGAATGTACGCAACTTGCGATATCGAAAGCGATTGGAGTAGCAATCGTCGGATTATCTACCGTCGTAAAGGTTCCTCAGATCCTTAAGCTTGTCAAGTCAGGCTCAGCAAAGGGTGTTTCTTTCACCTCTTACGCCCTCGAAACTACCGCGTACCTTATAACTCTCGCCTACAACTTCCGCTCTGGAAACCCCTTTTCTACTTATGGAGAAATCGCGCTTTTGGCCGCTCAGAATGTCATTATTTCGCTGTTGGTCCTGGCTTACAAGGGAAGATTGGATGTTGCGGCTCTCTACACGGCTGTTTTGGCCAGCGCCGGTTACAGTTTGTTCAACCAGGCTCTTGTTACACCCGAGATGATGGTAATGGCACAGGCGGCTACGATTCCTTTGGGACTTATGAGCAAGGTTCCCCAGATTTGGACTATCTTGAAGGAGAAGAGTACTGGACAGCTTTCTGCTTTTGCTGTAAGTTTTGGATTTTGCCTTTATGTCGGGCCGGAATGCTAATATTTTGTGATAGGTCTTTAACTACCTTTTTGGTTCTCTCGCTCGTATCTTTACTACCTTGGCTGAGGTTAATGACCCGGTTATTCTCTACGGATTCCTTGGAGGTTTCGCCCTCAACGTGGTTTTGGCTTTCCAGATGATTTGGTACTGGAACTCTGGTAGCAAGCTTGGCTCCGGAAAGGCAAAGAAGCATTTCCCCTCCAAGAACACTCCTAGAAAAGCGAAGGCAGGCCCTAAGCGCAAGTAAAGGATGGATTTGTGTTATTGTATCAGTTATTGTAACTACCAGCGAACTATTAAGCATGGTGATTTCTTGATATCTATAGACCCGCATTTCTTTTTTTTTTTTGCATTGTTATATTTGTGATATCTATTCCTCCTCTCTGTGACAAAACTCCAAACCCCTTATTAAATCT